AATGTTAAAGAACACTGTGTAACAATACAATGAAAAAATAAGTAGTAGTTCAACAAATACATATCTCTGGATCTGTTTCTCATGAGATCAAATTACCATAACCATGTATTTAAAGAACTGTGCCCTTTGGGGCTGGGGTTGTGGCTCAGCAGTAGAGCACTCACCTAGCACAGGCGAGGCACTAGGTTCCATCCTCAGCACCACATAAAAATAAAGGTATTGGGTCCAACTACAACTAAAAAAATATTTAAAAAGAATTGTCCCCCTCAAAAATCTCATGAATTAATACCCTTTTAGTTTATTGCAAATAAACAGGAAATTCTCAGTAAGTATGCAGAGAACACTAAATCATTTTATCATTAAAATCAAAGGCAGTGTAGAGAAACTCAGAATCCCAGCAATTCAGAATGCTGAGGCAACAGGATCAAAAATTACAGGCCAGCCTAACCAGCTTAGTGAGACTCTGTATCAAATAAAATAAAAAGGGCCAAGGGTATAAATAGCTCAGTGTTAAAGTGCTTTCCCTAGTATGTATGGGGCCTTGCGTTCAATCCCCAGTATTGCCAAAAGAGAGAGAAAGAGAGAGAGAGAGAGAGAGAGAGAGAGAGAGAGAGAGAGAGAGAGAGAGAGAGAGAAAATCTGATTAAAAAAATGGTACAAAAAATGAATATTACAGGTCGGGCATGGTGGTGCACACCTGTAATCCAACGGCTCAGGAGGCTGAAGCAGGAGAATCACGGGTTCAAAGCCAGCTTCAGCAAAAGTGAGATGCTAAGCAACTCAGTAAGACCCTGTCTCTAAATAAAATACAAATTAGGGCTGGGGATGTGGCTCAGTGGTCGAGTGCCCCCAAGTTCAATCCTCTGCTTAAAAAAAAAAAAGTAATATTACAGATGGAATGACATGTAGAAAATTTAACAGGACTGAGGATATAGCTCAGTGGTTAAGTCCTTGCCTAGCATATTTAAACAAATAAATGAATACATCCAAAATTATCCCTCACTACCATCAAAAATGGATTGATATCTTCCAAAACTCAAAAATTCGTTTCTCAACTATTCTTATCATTTCAGAACAGCATGCCCCATATTAGGCAAATAAAATGTATATGAACAGAACATTACTAATTGTTTTTGGGTGCACAGTGCTAGAGATTATTGAACTCAAGGCATCACGCGTGCTACCCAAGCACCCTACCACTGAGTTACATTTCTAGCCCTTTTCATTTTATCTTAAGACAGAGTCTAGCTCTGTGTTAGTTGCCCAGGCTCAGTTTGAATTTGAGATTCTCCCACCTCAGCATCATGAGTAGCTAAGAGTAGAGGTGTGTACCAACATACCCAGCTACTATTAAGGTGAAATGTTTTTGTTTGTTTTTGTTGTTTTCGTCAAACAGTCTATCTCTAAGTTGCCCAGGCTGGCCTCAATCTTGGGATCTTAACTGCTTCAGCCTCCCAAGTAGACAGGGATTACAAGAGTGCACATTGCACCTGACTCATAAGGTAGCATATTCTAATGAACTATAACAATACCAACTATCTACAGCAAAAAATTTATATCTACAAATACAAAGAGCAATCAAGTATAAGAAAAGTATAATAAAAGGAAAGAAAGAAGCAAGAAGAAAAATCAAATCCATATTTCTACAGCTCTTTTATTTTATTTATTTATTTATTTGGTTGCTGACTTGCTTGTTTGTTTTCCCTTGTAATGGGAACTAAACTCTGAGCTAAGACTCCAGTCTTGCTGAGTCGGTTAGGGCCTTGCTAAGGTGCCGAGGCTGGCCTTAAACTTACAATCCTTCTGCCTCAGCCTCCCCAGTCGCTGGGACTACAGGAGTGCACCAACGTGCCCTGCTAAATCCATGTTTCTAAAGGGAAGATTCATATTATAAAAATATTTTAATCCCTAAAAGAGTATTTCAATGTAACTCTAATGTAATTGAAACTGCATTTTTGTTAGTCCTAATGTTCATCTGAAAAAGTAAATGACAATGTTTGTTGTACCAGGTACCAAAATACATAAAGACATAATAAATTTAAAATAATGTGATTTCAGGACATGAATAGACACATCCACAGAACAGAAAAAAAAAAAAATACAGCAATATACTCAAGAATTCAGCAATGATTCAAACAGCATTTCAAATCACTATTAAAAAAACAGATTGAAAAACATGACTAACCAGGTGGCAGAGAAAAGGTTACACACCTTACCATATTCTAAAATTAATTCTAGACTGATAAAAAGATTTAAATATGGATAATTCATTCTTCCTTTCACCCTTCCTTTCCATTTTTTTTTAATTGTAGATGGACACATTTATTTTATGTGGTGCTAAGGATTGAATCCAGTGCCTCACACGTGGTAAGTCAGTTATGGCTTTCACTGAGCCATAACCCAACCTTCCATTCTTTCTTGAATATTTGATTCTTAAACCATGAGGTACAGCCAAGAAAGGAAAGTCTTCATGCTGCAGAGAAAGGGGCAGTCTAATACAAGTGTCACAGCCTGAATAGGGTTTGCTCCTACGAGAGAAGCAGAGGTAGAGGTAAGTGTGATGTCAGAGCAAGGTGAAGAGATCAACACCACAAGGGGGAGAAGGCAGTCATAGAATGGAAGCTGTTATATCACTAAAAGAGTGAAGAAGGCCAGGCATGGGCTGGGGATTTAGCTCAGTTGGTTGAATGCTTGCTTGCCTCCCATGCAGAAGGCCATGGGTTTAATCCCAGCACCACAAAAAAAAAAAAAAAAGAAAAAGGCCAGGCACAGTGCCACACACCTGTAATCCCAGCAACTGGGGAAGCTGAGGCAGAAGGATCACAAGTTTAAAACCAACCTCAGCAACTCAGTGAGGCCCTAAGCAACTTAGCAAGACCCTGTCTCAAAAAAAAAATTTTTTTAAAAGCGGGGAGGTGAGGTCTGGAGATTGGGGGGTGTGCAACTCAGTGATTGAGGGGGCCCTGGGTTCAATCCCAGTACCAAAAAAAAAAAAAAAGTGAAAAAGCCTGAAGAAAAGCAGCAACAAACTGGAACAGGGTGTGGAACCTGAAAATGAGATGAGAAAGGCACCTATATCAAGAAATAGCAGCAACAGAATATTTATTAATACAGGAGAGTCTAATCAAATAAATTATTTAGGATAATAAAAGTCAAGTTTCTGTCTGAGATGAGCCTAATATGAAAAAAAAAATAGTATGAACCCTATGCTGTCGGATTGGATTTAGACAAATCACTATGTTCGTAGATCTCATTATATAGAAATGGATACAAAAACACATACAGATGTGTATGTATATATGTTCATATACTGCATCAGAATTGTGACTATGACCTCGCACTTTTCAACAAACACAGAAATAATATGTCAATTGTGAAAAGTTATATCTCTGTATGTATGTACAGGCATATACTTCCTAATTATAACAAATGAGAGAGCCTGAGACTAGCAATATCCCAAGAACAATAAGCACACCTAGTGCCCACTTTGGTTTCTAAATATCATTCTTACCTAAAAAGCCATAAAAACTCCTTGGAGAAATAGTAATTCCAGAGCTAGAACAAGAATGATACAAGTTGTGCCTGGAATATATTGTAGCACAAGGGAATGCTCACAGAATAATAGGAACATGTCAGGACCTAGAAGCCAGTTTAAAGAGGTCCCACTGGCCAAATCTGAGATAATATGAAGATCAACATAAATTGACAGTAATAGAATATAAGCCATTAAAATAAAATATCAACACATATGTCTATACTTATAATCAATGAGAAGAAAGTTTTTCCTTATAATGAAATGCTAACTGACAAATGTAAATGAAATTACAGAATTGGGAAACCACCACTTATTATTAATCACTAGCATAAATTAAGCAAAAAATACCAAGGTATGCTAAAATTGGTGAATAAAAGATAGAAGGCATAGAAACAAGATATTTACATACAAATTACTTCCCCCAAAATGCTTATTGATTTATAAAGGGGGAAAACATCAACCTGATAGTGAAGGAAACCATAACCAAGTGATCAAAGTAACAGCACCAGTAATGGGAAAAACTGAAATCATGTTCCACCCTGATAGGATGCAACAGAAACACGAATCACTTCTGCAATATTCCTGTCAAAAACATATAATTTGTATTTAACCATGAAGAAACATCAAACAGGACATTTTACAAAACAACTATAAACTATACATTTAAAAGTATCAACGTTATTAAAGTAAGGGAAAGATAAGAATTACTATTTGAGAGTAAAAGACACCAAAAAAAAATGTAAATTGCAATCTTTTTGCTATAAAGAATATTTCTGGGGGAAACCATGGAAATGTGAATGAGGTCAATATCAGACAGCAATAATACATTGCTGTTAATTTCCTGATCTTCATGATTATATTGCAGTTATATAGAAGAACACTCTCTTTTTTTAACCAGGGCCTGGGACCTCCTAGGCAGGTGCTCTACCACTAAGTCATATTCCCAGACCTTAGAATAAATACCCTTCTTTATAGGAAATACACTTTACAGTATTTGGGAGTGAAAGGATATTATATTGGTAAATTACTCTCAAATGGCTTAAGGGGGAACACCTTCTGTACTATTCCTACAACTTACATATAAGCTCAAAATTATTGCAAAATTCAAAGGAAAAACAAGTATTTTTCAAATTATCTTAGAAAACACTAAATAAAAATTTTTACATACTAGTATGGAGAAAAAATTTTCATGTTTTAAACTTCTGTACTAGGGACTAGGGTTGTGGCTCAGTGGCAGAGTGCCTGCCTGCCTAGCATGTGTGAGGCACTGGGTTCAATTCTCAGCACCACATATAAATAAACAAAATAAAGGTCCATTAACAACTAAAAAATAATAAATAAATAAATAAATGAGTAAATAAATAAATAAATAAACCTTTAAGTTTAAAATTTTAAAAATTTCTTTTTGTCTAGTTTTAGAACAAAAATATATATTCATATATTAATAAAATGAAATCCACTGTACCTTATTGTAGCGATCATGGGGAACAGACTGTAAAACGATTGGTTCCATTGTAGAAACATTGGCAAATTGTACCTCTGGAATATACAGGGCACAAACCACATGAGCCCAACCTAAAAAAAAAAAAAAAATAAACAAAAGTTTATTTGTTTAAAAGTTTTATCAAAAATAAAATGACTACCTCTCTTAAAAAAATTTCTTAAAAATGACTAAGGAAATGCATAGCATTAACAAATTCTCATTATTTAGTTCTGCATGAGAATAGTCAAACCACTACTGACCAAGTATTCTTAACCATTTCTACAGTAATTATGCATAGTAACATAAATAAAGGAAAACATTTATAAGTTCAGATGCTAGCACTGATAATTCTTCTAAGGGCAAACTAATTCAGATCAACACTACTTCTGAAAAATACCTTATAAAAAAGTTTTATAAAACAACTTTTCATACTTTGCTGGGTAGGGATATAGCTCAGTGGTACATCCATTCATTCATGCCCAGCACTATACCCCCCACAAAAAAAATTAATATTTTAATATTAACCTTAAATGTTAACATTAAATTTTTATTTTCATGTTAACATCAACAATTTGAATATTAACATTCATTTTACTATTTTAAATTTTCACTTGAGATGTGAACGACTGATATTAAATTTAACATTTAATTTTTTAAATGTTACTGAAGATATTAAGAACTGATGTCACAGTTAAGTATATTATAAAACTCGAAAAGAATGAAATTACAGAAAGGTAGGTGCAGGCAACCAACACAGAAAGGGAAGAAGTAAACCTCTCCCTACTTTCAAATGTGACACAAGCCAGGAGAAGGAATAAACTAAAAATACATGGGTCCTTAAAGAGACTACACCTGGGCATTTATCATATCAAACTCTTAACATGTAACTAAGGTAACCCTGAACAAGTACCCCTAACCTGTGAAATGAAGTAATTATATATCTTCCTTTTTTTTTTTTGAGAGAGAGAGATTTTTTTTTTTAATATTTATTTTTTAGTTTTCGGCGGATACAACATCTTTGTTTGCATGTGGTGCTGAGGATCGAACCCGGGCCGCACGCACACCAGGCGAGCGTGCTACCGCTTGAGCCACATCCCCAGCCCTATATATCTTCCTTGAGTATTTAGTATTTCCCTACAAATAATTTCTACAACGTGTTAATTGGAATTCCAAAATAATAAAAAGAACAAAAGATGAGAGATGAAACAATATGAATGAAAACCAGCAGAAACAAGAAAATCAAAAGATATGTACTTTGGAGTTATCAGATAAAGATTTTAAAATAAGTATCTTCATTCTTTTTAAATATTTATTTTTTAGTTATAGGTGGACACAATATTCTATTTTTAGGTGTTGCTGAGGATCAAACCCAGTGCCTCACACATGCTAGGCGAGCACTCTACCTCTGAGCCACAACACCAGCCCAATAAGTATTATGATCAAATTATACAGAAGACAAAATTAAAAATGGCTGCAGTGAACAGAAAACTACACATAAAAAATTCTAGGGGCTCGGGTTGTAGCTTAGCAGCAGAGTGCTTGCCTTGCACATGTCAGGTACTGGGTGCAATCCTCAGCACCACGTAAAAGTAAATAAACAAAATAAAGATATTGAGTCCGTGTAGAACTATAAATATTTTTTTAAAACAATAAAATAAAAATTCTAGAAGTAAAAACAGAAATTTTAAATCAATAGATGGGAGATTAACAATGGTTTGAATATGGATGAAAACAGAATTAGTGGGCAAGAAAAATAGGTCAAATAAAAATATCTAGGATGTTAACAAGATACAAGTATGAAAAATACAAAAGAAAGGGAACAGAAGACATGAAAAATGCAGCCTAACACACACCTAAGTAATTTAGGGAAACTCAAAAATTTTTTAAAAATTAAAAATTAATGTTTAAAAAGGGTGGGGATATATGTAGCTTGGTGTAGAGCATACCTGGGTTTAATCTCCAGTACCATAAAATACATACACACATACACATATATATACACACATAAATGAAAATAAAACACTGTCTGGTAGGGTCTTTGTGTTTGGGGGAGGGGGGTTGCTAGGGATTGAACCCAGGACCTTGTGCACTCTACCAAATGAACTATATCACCAGCCCTTGGTAGGGTATTTGATGTTTGTAGATTTAACATTTTAAAACTATTTTTAAAAAGCTCATGTCGCAGAGGAGCCTGTAATACCAGCAGCTCCAGAGGCTGAGGCAGAAGGATTACAAATTCAAAGCAGCCTCAAGCAAAGCAATTCAGAGAGACCCTGTATCTAAATAAGAGCTGGGGATGTGGCTCAGTGGTCAAGTACCCCTGAGTTCAATCCCCGATACTGTCCGCCCCCCCTTCCCCTCCCCAAAAAACAGGCTCACATCTATAGCTCCAGCAACTCGAGATGCTGAGGCAGGAGTATCACTAATTGGACGCCAGCCTCAGCAACTTAACAAGCTCCTATTTAAAAAAAAAATTATAAAAAAGATCAAGGAAGGAACATTGTAAATGATATATATACAGTTTTAATCTACACCTTATGTAAAGTATGCACACAGTAACTGAAGTTATTGGTATAAAAAAATGTAATATATAAACTGTAATAAATTATGTATGTAATATATAACATATATGTAATATATAAACTGAAGTATTTATATATTACTCAGCCATAAAGAAGAATAAAGTTATGGTATTTGCCAGTTAATGGATGGAACGGGAGAATATTGTGCTAAATCAAATAAGCCAATCCCTAAAAATCAAAGGCTGAATGAATGTTCTCTCTGATATGTGAATATCATATCAGAGGTATGATATTCCTCTGTTCTCTCTGATATGTGAATATCATGTTCTCTCTGATATGTGAATGTTCTCTCTGATATGTGAATATCATATCAGAGGTATGATATGAGGGAGGACAGAAGTTATCTGGATTAGACAAAGGGGAATGAAGGGAAGGGAGAAAGATGGGAATAGGAAAGACAGTAGAATAAATTTAACTTTCCTATGCTCATACATGAATACACAACCAGAGTAACTCCACATCATGTACACCACAAGAATGGAATCCTAATTAAAAAAGTTATATTCCATGTAATGTATAATATACTCTACTGTCATATGTATGTAAATGTGCACTTTACAGGCAAATAAATAAATGTGTATAGAAAAAGAGAGTTAGGGCGTGTAGCTCTAATAATACAGCACTTGCCTCACATTCACCACGCTCTGGTTCAGTCCCTGGTTTCGGGAAGGGAGGCAACATGACCCACAATAAAGAGAAAGAGGGCCAAAAGGACAATTTAATGCAATTACTTTAATTCAAAAGCAATAGTAATTAGTTGTACTGTTAATTTAATTAAAAACAGTACTAAAGACTAATCAAAAGGAAGGGAGAAAAGAAGAAATGAAACCATAAGAAGAAAAAATCAACATTAACAGCTCTAAGGTAGCTTAACAAAGACCAAATTTAGCCTTCTCTGTATAAGACAATTCACATGCTCCCAATCCAAAAAAAATGGACAAAATACCTGAGACAATGATATGCATGACACTGAATATCAGATAATGGCGATCAAGACTGAAAGGCAATAAATAAATGAGGTAAGCTCTAAGTTTGCCCCAGCTTACTATCTTCAGAGCTTTCTAGGTTCACGGCACAGGAAACTCTGAGAGTCTAGATAGATGAAGCTAACGCTGGTGAAATCAAGACAGCTAAAACTAGCAGATCAGATTACTGAAAATGAGAACTTCTCAGAAAGAGAACCCTAAAGACATGAAGAGGAACCATTTAAATATTCATCATAGTATCGATCAGTATGTGTACATATATAAAGAAATTATCTGAGGTCGGAAAAAAGCCATTCCAAAAGAATTAGATAGAACAATGGCCATCAAGCCCAAGCAGCCAGAAATAGTTTGCATTCCCATAACCAGACTGGAAAAACTCATAATTCATAAAGCACTAGACAGAATATTCAGGAAGGTCTTGCCTCAATAGTAGGGTATAACTACCCTTAGATCAAACACTATTGCAAACCCACCTGATAAATCATAGCAGCAGGCCCAAAATATCAAACTGTTCCCACAGATCTTAACTGTACCTCAGAACAAAGCTCAAAAAGATTTATAAGAATACATGAAATCCAGATTTACTACAGCATGGTGGAGCATACAACTCCAAGGTAAAATCAAGCAAAAATTCTCAGAAACTATTTCGTCAGAACCCTGGAAAACAGTAAAACGTTTTCAGTAACCAAGAAAAAGGACAACTTTTAGAATTTAAGAAAAAGGCATCTTAAAAATGACAGGAAATCTTTGGCATCTTTACTTTCCCTTGACCTTTGCAAGCCTTAGGTTGGAAGGATATCTGGAAGAAGAGAGTAGCCAGAGTTTCCCAGTGTGGAACCCTGGTCACTAGTTTCAGAAGGACCTAACTTTTATGTATAAAGAATTGTGTTGAGGGCTAGGGTTGGAGTTTAATGGTACAGCACTTGCCTAGCATGTGTGAGATCCTGGGTTTGATCCTAACCACCACATAAAGATAAGTAAATAAGATAAAGGTATTGTATCCATCTAAACTAAAAAAATATATATTAAAAAAAAATTGTTGACATGGGTGCCGTGGCACACACCTATAATCCCAGGAGCTAGGAAGGTTGAGGCAGGAGGATTACAAGTTCAAAGCCAGCCTCAGCAATTTAGAAAGGCCTACACAACTCAGTGAAATCCTGTCTCTAAATAATTTACAAAAGAGGGGCTGGGGATGTGATTCAGTACTTAAGTGCCCCTGAGTTCAATCCCCAGTACAGAAAAAAAAAAAAAAAAAAGAACTGTACTAGGGACAGTGGTACAAACCTATACTCCTAGCTATTCCAGAGGCTGAGGCAAGAAGATCACAAATTTGAGGTCATCCTGGGCAACTTAAGAAGAAGCTACCTCAGAAAAAAATAAAAAGGCCTAGGGATATAGCTTAATGAGAGAGTGCAAGCCTAGCATGCTCAAAGCCCTGGGTTCTATCCCCAGTATCACCCACCCGCCTCCCCCCCCCACCAAAAAAAAAGAGAATTCTGTCTATCCCTGTTTCAAAATGTC